CTTTTTTTTTTCCCAGGGTCCCCCCAGCCATTATGTTTACTTACCACACCCTGCCATAGGGTTGTAACTCTCTTTGCTGCCCCTCCAGCAACTGCTCAACCAACAATTTTCCCCTTTTTACTCTTGGAGCAATTGTAACTGACATTCCCATTCAGGGTTGTATTATTATTATTATTATTATTATTATTATTATTATTATTATTATTATTATTATTATTATTATTATTATCATTATTATTATTATTATTATCATTATTATTTTCTGGAGGCATTAGTCCAGTATGAGATTTCCTATTGAAGAAAAATCTGACTAAATCAAGTTTAGGATTAAATAAATCAGTGCAAAGCTTTGGGAGAAGAGTAATATTTTTGGTGTAAAGGTGAGTTAATCTTAATCAGGGAGGGGAAAAGATAAAATGAAATTTACTTCTCTTATGCCAAAGTAAATACATCTCCAAATGCTTCTGCCCTAGTTGGGTAAACCTGTTTAAGAATGAAAGCATGTAACTTTGGCTTAGACAAGGTTTTCATATGTGCAGTCTTATTTAATTTGGCACATTATCAATTTTACTGACAGATACTAGGGAGAAAGAAATGTCTATGAGGTATTTATAGAGATGAAATGTCTATGAAATATTTATATAATAATAATAATACCAAGAAAAAACCCCTGCGTGGAGTTTCATGCCCTATAAAAGAGGAACTTCTGTAGCTGGAGGAATTTCCTCAAGGGCTTGCTGTAAATGAGTGATGGTAACGCCCACTCCAAGAGAAGATCACAATCTTTTGACAAACGTTCTTGAGCAACTTAAATATAGAATTCTTTCCTAGCTTCCTTACAATGCGTGTTTTAATTGTGGAGTGGTGTAAAAACATTGCATAACTAATTGCAGTAAGTCTGGTTGTAATTAGTTTATTTGGAAAAGAGTAAATACTTAATCTCTCAGTGAGGAAATACTTCTTCTAGACTGTCTGCCTTCTCTATACAAGCCGTCAATTTTTGCCTAGTTACTAGTTTTATGAAATCTTGATTTGAGGACAAGGAGATGGATAATCAACAGTGTCTCCTAATATATCTTTATTATTGTATTAATGCAGTAATATTACTGTATTAATACAGTAATAAGCATCTTTTCTATATACACTCTAACATCTCTTTATTCTAAATTTGAATTCATCCAGCTTCTGCTTCCAGCCCTTGTTTTAAGTTGTGCAGTTTTGACTGGATAGGAGAAGGAAGAAAGTGAGATTTGCAGCAATTTCTAAATTAAGTGATTAAATATTAAAAACTAAACCAACAAACAAAAAAAACAAACAAAAAAAATAGAACTTTACTTGCTGGCATGAAGACGAGCTTCTTTCCAATTCCCAATAGGCAGAATTGCCTTTTGTAAAACTGTGTATGTTAAGCAGAGTGGATTTAAAAAAAAAAATAAAAAATAAAAAATATTTATAGTGTTAAAACAAGCTCACTCAAAATTAGCAAACCATATGAAATTTGTCAATCATTTCAATTGAATTTGAAAACATTAATAAGCAGTGTGTGTATGTTATTACTGTAGAGGAAAAAAAAACAAGTATCTTTCTGAGAAACACATACTTCTCACAGTTTGCTTCAGTGCTAACCTGTCTTTTGACATCCATATTCCTTGTCAAGAACAGAGTGTGTTTTTTTCTCATTTGAAAACATCAAAGTAGTTCAGGAACTAATTTACTCAAGACAAAATGTGAGTTAAAAAGAGCAGAAAGTTTGTTCCTTTGCTTTCACTGTGTGAGATAAGGAATTGTGCTGGCATACAACATTGCTGGATACTGCTGAGCAGAAGTAGGCAGTCTGGTCTGGAAAAAAATACCCAAACACCACCACAGTTATAAGATAAGAATAAGATTCTTGCGTATCCAGAACTTTTAGCATAGTTTGATTTCAGATTTTCTATTTTGAATTGAATTTCACTTTCTATCCAGGTGGATAGAATCATATGTAAAAATGAAAAAAATATGTAGTAAGTATGTAATAAGAAACATACAGAATAGCCACATTGTAGCTTCTCTTTTTCCTGTAGTCTCTTCTATTAGCAATACTGACTACAACACTTCTGGGTAAGTCTGTTTCCTGTATAATATGCCCCATACTATGAAGGGAGGTCTACTTAAATTTCAGATGTATTTTAACATATTTTGGAATCTGAAGATTTAGATAATTTTAAGATGGTAGATTTACAGCTGTTTAGCCTTGGGGATTCATTTACCTCGAAAAATGAACTAGCTTCCTCACTGAAGGTTTTTCTTCTCCAAAATAAAAAAGCATAAAGGGAAAAGAACAACTATTCTCTGTGATTGATGGTTGGAATTTCTGTGTGGTGTAATTCAGTGCTTAGTAGCTGTTTGATGGTATAAAAGATACCTGCTAGATTTTAATTAAGAAACAGCTGTCTTCTGTCTTGCAACTTGGTTTATCCTGTTACACCAAACCTCATTTGGTGTAATACTGATTGCTTTTCTAGATAGAAAAGTGCTACTTAATATATGACTGAAAAACAGGAAAGGTTAGCAAATTTAAGATAAAGACATTCATTTGTGTATTAATTCATCTGGTCATTGACTTTATGCGTAGGAGCTATCTAAGAGCAGCCCTTGTGCTGTGAAAGAGTCTCTGATGTGAAGTACTTTGAGCATATTTTCTGCTAGGCTGTAAGCTGATAATCTTTGATTGGTTGTGTTGTCCCCGTTGCCCGTGCTTGCCTACCTTGAGTAAAGTGACTCAAGTTAAATGGTTAAAAGGAAATCTCTCTAATGCTTGATTGCGTCCGGATACAGAATCTTGGCTTATGCAGAATGGAGGACTGTCAGAAGGTCATGTGTGCATGTTACGTTTATATAGTCTGTCATGAAAACTGATAAGGAAATACAACCTGCTATACATTTTAGATATCCTTTAATGCAACCTTCACATTATTACTTAGTTTCATTTATGTGAATCTTATCTTCAGGAGCTTCGATCACGAGAAGAAGAGTTGACAAGAGCAGCTCTTCAGCAAAAATCTCACGAAGAATTACTGAAGCGCCGTGAGCAGCAGTTAGCAGAACGTGAGATTGATGTACTGGAGCGTGAGCTGAATATCATGATATTCCAGTTAAATCAAGAGAAACCCAATGTAAAGAAGAGGAAGGGAAAATTTAAAAGAAGCCGGTTAAAACTTAAAGATGGACACAGAATTAGTTTGCCTTCAGGTTTGCAAATTTTTTTTAAGTTCATGATATATATTACAATTAAATATGCAGGCTTCTTTTACATAGTTAATGTTTTCAGTATTGACTACTATTTTAATTCATTGCCAGGTCCTTCTGCCCCGAAATGCAAAAGGGTATGAGAATGTGGTAAGAATTGCATAGCCCTTTCACCTCCCCCCCAAGAAAACAACTTTCACATATCATATTCTTGTGGAGTAGTCCTCATTGCAACCGGAAGAATGTTTCACATGATTCAGATATAAGTCCATTGTATCTGGAGGGAAAAGATACTAGCATGGGAACCAAATTATGGTTCAAACTGCTTCAAAGTTCAGATTTTTGCTGTTTTTCTTTTTGTGCAGATGTAAAAGTATGCAACTTCTTTTTGTCGCATCTCAGAACTTTCTAACATGATCAAATATTAGTGCTGCTTGCCCTAGACTTGCAAATATGTAGTAGGACACCAGCACTTGGTAATGGCTGGAGGTACAGGTGTGGTAGGTCCAAACTGCACGCTTATTGCAGTCACAAAATACAATGCAGCAGTTACAGTCGTCGGTGCTTTACTTCTTGCAAGAAAACACTTCTTGCAACAGAAGGTATTATTTCAGAGTGCCAGTATGTTATAATTTGAATGTCAGAGTATTTAATTCCACCCGTGAACACATTAAAATGCCCCTTTTGCAAAGGAGGTGTTTTTGTAGAGTCAGGTTTTTTTAGTGTCAGGGACTGGTGTAGTGGTGCCTTTTTAAGGTTGCCACGAGATGGCACTACGGAAACTCAAGGGTATGCCAGTGGCTGGAAAGCCTTCAGCAGTGGCACCAGCATCCTGGTGTTGATGGGCTTCCATCCAGTGGCTTCCAGATCAAGTCTGTCAATTTATTACTAATGCAATAAGAACTTAAGGCCGTGCTAACGCAGGTCTGACCAAATCATAGCTGTCTGGTAGCTGGAAAGAGACAAAGAGGGCAGTAATATTTACAGCACTGTCTCAGTGCTAGTGAAATAAGCTTGTAAGAATAACGTGCAGTCTAATTGCACTGATGATGGGGATTAGAGAGGAGCATATGATCAAATGCACAGTTTTTTTCCTACTTGCCAATATTTGTTCTTTTTTTACTACATTGCTATAAATGTTTGTAATTCTGTAGTGTGGTGTCTTGTTTTTCTGACATGCTGATAGATGTGACTTCTTTGTTAATTTTCCTTTTTATGTTGTATATGAATTACAAGTTAAAAAATAAAGCAAGTCTGATTGCCATGAGTATTGATTGATTTGGGGTTTTTCTTTCACTCTGTGACAACCAACAAGATCGAATAACAACTTGTGATGCGGATGTGTCTCAGTTTGAGTCCAATTGGACCTACTTACTTTTGTTAATATTACTTCAAACCTACAATATAGTATCGGTGAAGTTGTCCTGCCTGTTTGACTCAATATCTAAATGGTTACATTAGGAGGTAGTTTGTCAGTATTTTTCATACGAACATCTCTTACACTATCAAGTCTAATTCATTATATAGCTTTAGTTGTTTTAAGAAGTAAGGCAGTATAATCCCCTGAGGATTTATTTTTATTATTATTTAGAACATTAAAATTGATTTGTTTTACTCTCTTACAGATTTCCAGCACAAAATAACAGTGCAGGCATCCCCCAATCTGGATAAGAGGAGGAGTTTAAACAGTAACAGCTCTAGTCCATCAAGTAGCCCCACAATAATTCCTCGTCTTCGAGCTATACAGTGTAAGTCTCCACCATTTCTATTTGTTCATTTGATCAACAGAGACAGTTGGTTCCATACACCCACTGAAACACTGGTAGTAATATCAGATCCCAGACAGATTTCTGTCTGATTTCCAGGTCCCTTAACTTGTTCTAACAGTTACAAGTTTTTCTTTGATTGGAGGGATAATCTTGCTAAAACACTAACCAATTTTCAATAATTCTAAATGATTGTGAATGCTTTAAATCATATATTTCCTTAATATCTTCAGGAACTCATTTTTAAACTGACTGGGATAAAACAATGAAGAATCAAAATTTATGATGGGAAAAGGCAAAGCATCACATTTAGAACCCATATGAGATGGAAAACAAGTTTTTATTAGGTATTAGATATTGATAAAATAAATGGGTTATGGACTATCAAAAAAAAAGAGGAAAAAAGAAAAAAAAGATTCAAAGAATAAGGGAGTAATGTAAGATGGAAAGGCCGAAGAATCAGCCAGCAACCGAGCTTGCTTATGTCAAAAGAGAAGCAAGCTTTAAGCAAATACAAAATTGGAAGAAAACAAAGAAGAAAGCTTGTTTTAGACTTTTTGAAACCAAGAGAAAGAAACAAAAATAAAATTATGGGAATGCTTGTAGGCCTACATTATTCCATGTAGGCTGATGACAGAAGGGAAGGCGTGTTCATGCTCATGTAGTGGAGCTACCATGAATATAGAAGAAAATTGACCATATTGTTACAGTGAAGCCTGCATTTGTATTTAGGAAATGCCATAGGTAGAGCTAGAAAACAATTCTATCTCTACATCTCTTCTAGGATTCACTACTTGCATTTGTGCTGTCTCATCTGTTGTGCAAAGTAGACTGTCTAATTATCCATATTTAACATGGAATTTTATGTGAGTTGAAAAAGCCTGAATTTTCTCTCTCTATATGAAATCAGTGGAACCTGTTCCAGCTGATTGCTTATGGACAGTGACTTTCTTCTCTTCCAAGTATAGTAATCTCTGAAGGAAATTACTTCAGAATCTGGCTTTACTAGATATAAATAAGGAGGAGAGGAAATGAAAATGCATGGGAATTTTTTTCTGTATACTGTTTTGTAGCTAGTTTAAAGATTTTTATTTTTTTTTCATTAACCAACTTGAGACTTTGTTTAAAGTTTGGATAGAAATCAGATCTCTCATCTCCTTTGGAATATGGCTGCCTTATGAAATCTTTTTCATTATTAATGTCTAATGGAGAAGTGGTGTCTTTTCTGGCAGTAACTTTATTATTTGTTTGAACCATAACTAGTGCAGTTCCCTGGGTGAAGACAGGGATATGTTGTGGATATGTGTGGATAAAGGAGAGAGATGGACAAACCCTGTCTTGATTTTCTTAATGAAAATATGAGATGGAAAGAAAATTATGTAAAGTCTTTTTCAGAAGTTAGCTGAGACAGTATCTGTGTTGATAATGGTTTCCCTACCTCAAACAGTGGTGGATTTTTTTTTTTTTTTTTTTTTTACTGCAGAAAGGTAAGAACAGGTTTTTTTCTCAGTAAAATGTCATAATTACTTATAAACAAGACTGTCTCATTTTATCTTTTATTTTCCTTGCTCTGTATGGAAATACGTGGAAATGAAGTAAGGGTCAGGTATTAGCATGATTCTGAAAACCTGAAGGTTTTTATTTTTAAATGCATAGCCTCATGTAAGCTATAGCAGTGCCACTCCTTGCATGTTTGCTAAGTGCCAATGGGGATTTTTCTCTTCTTTTTTTTTTATTTGAGCAAGCATTTGTATTTGTAGGCCTAGAGCATACAGGACAACATGAAGGCTCTCCTTTAAAAGAAGTACACTTCTGTTTCTGAGTTTGGATCCCTAGGCTTTACCTAAAAGCTTATCAGATCTCTCAGGAGTATCTAGCTGAAACAATTTAGCTTCCACACCCATCTGCACCTGTGCAAAATAAATTCTCTTTCCCACAATAATGTTTTATCTTGATTTAACTTCAAAGTGTCTTTGTTTCAAGAAGACTTGCTCAAATACAGATGGTTTGAACAGGAATATATAACAATTGGTTACTTGATTGCTTCATTTTGTCATGTGAGAGTCTAGCTTCCAAATCTAAAAGTTTTTAAAGTTAAAATAAAACCTACTTTTTAAAGTTAAATTACAATAAAATTGTAAATCTTGTTATTAAAACAAGTTCAGTTGATTTTGAAAGATGTTTTGAAGGGAAGTGGAAAACTAGTAAGATATATATTCTATAGGTCTTGGAATGTGGTTGAAAATGAGATTGTAAAGAAGGCAAGTAGAGTGCTGTACTACAAGGGAAGCTGTGCTGGTGAGGCAGTGTGGGAGCAGCAGAATCATGGGCACAGTTCTGAACCACCTCATTTATCGTGCTGTTATAACTGCCTAAGTTATTTTTTTCTGAGGTTATTTTTTTCTGAGGTCTCTCTATCATAGCTGTAAGCATGCCATGTCGATAGCAAGTTACTTTTCCAACTAGTCAGTCATACACGAAAATCTCCTTGCCTGGGTCTGGTCCTAGAAAGAGGATCCTCTAAACCCTACAGTAAAAACCTGCTATCAAAAGATGCTTAATGCCTTTATAGGTCTGGACTTAATGACCCAAAGATAAAAATATAAGGGAAACAGTTCCGTTTCTGAAATCAACTTGACTAAGATCTCTACTACATTCTCTTAATTTTTCCTCAGTGATTCCCAAAACAGATACACACACAACTAATGGCCGAAGAAACAGTGTATATGTGTACCAGCAAGATGTAGATATCACAAGTGAATATGAACTTCCCAGTGGGGTTATGAAAAAAGGCAAGATTTCATTATGTTTCAAGGGTGCTGGTTCTGTTTAATTTAACAGTTGAGACAGTGACAGACTAAGCATTTAATGAAGGTCAGACACTTTAAATGTATAATTTGTTTTGATGTAGTGAGAAGGAAAATATTAATTATTGTCACAATTGGAATATTCTGTTTCATTTGATACTAGTTCTTCCACAGCATATATTTTCTTCATTGGAATTTAAGTGCTCAGTCTACCTCACTTGTCTGAATTACCTAAATATAAGGTTCTCAGTTAAAGGAAGCATGGAAAATATTATTGTTTTGCTACTTTCTTTTTAATATGGGTATCTTGTCAGCTCATAAATTATTTTTCTTGCTTGCTCATCTTTTTGGATAAGTGCACTTTACGTGGTGGTCTTTGTAGAAGAAAAAATCTCAAATTTTGTCTACTCCTCATTGTGTTACTCTGTCAAAATGGGTTTGTGGTGGAGAAAATATTCTGTTCTGTCAAAATATTTTGGTTTTAGAAATAGTATTTGTGTGGGGTTTTTTTGTTTGTGTTTTTAAATCCAATCTCTAGTAACTTCAGATGAAAGCAACAGAACTTGGGGAAGGAGTACAACTTACCACCAAGAAGAGTTTGAAGATGTGAAAAGAAGTTTTAAAAAGAGAGGTTGTACATGGGGACCAAGTTCAGTTCAAACAAAGGATCGTGCAGATTGTAAGGACAAGTATGTCTACTACATTTTGTCTGATAATACTAAGCATTCTTGGTAACTGAATCACTAACACAGGCAGTGAGTGAGAGAAGTTCTGTGGCCTCTAGTTACAGATAAAACTCAGTCCTACCTTTTAATTTAGGAATTACATTAATATTGAGTAACTCCCCCACATAGACTTGAGGATAAAATGCTTATCTTAAGGTTTTAGTGGCTCTTATCTATTACCTTTTATCTCTGGTTTTTGAGACTTGGAACATACTGGGATGCTATTACTAATGCATACCAGACGATCATGGCCTGTCTCTTTCTTGCCGTTCCTGAGACTGACTTGAACTGCAGGCATGGCCCCAGTGGGCACTTCCAGTACAATCAAGTAAGACTGACTGGCTTTGCATGTGTGAAACACAATTCACACCAGCAACATCATTTACACTGAGAAACACAGGGTGAAAGGGTTCTGAAAAATCAACTGGATGCCTTCACTTTCAGCTTATTTTTTCTAATTGCTTAAAACTGGAGATTAGCAGTTTTTCTGAAGCAAGAGATCTTTTTCCTTGTCTCGCATATATAATTATTTATAGCACTTTTTTTTTCCCCTTGGTAGAGACATCCACTTATTTACCTTCAGCAGCAGCTGGTTCCACACCATCTCTTGGAATTGGGTTTATGTTATTTTTGTTTGGTTTAAAAGTCACTATGTTTAATAAATTTCCAATAGTCACATAATTTTTTTGACACAGAGAAGCTGTTGTCCCGGTTTTCATCAACTTTTGTTCTTCAGTAGGTAGTCAAGGGCCATTTTTAATTGGCTTTCTTTTTAGGCCTGAAATTTTCATCTTCTAAAGAACACCTGATATAAGGCATGTATCAATTTATACTCATATGACTGTGCTATTAAATACACTTTTTTTTTTTACCTTTGGAAAGCTTTACTGTTTTCAAGTTATGTACTACATATTTGTACTTTAAAAAAAGATGGTTTAGTAATTTTCTGTTAAAGTGTATATAAGCCTGGTTTCTTCTATAATATCAAAATAACTATTGTGATTTCAGAGTAAGACCCCTTTCAGATGGCAGCAACCCTTGGTCAACCCTTTTAATGAAAAATCAGAAGGGTGTTCCCTTAGCTTCGCTATTTGTGGACCAAGGTAAGAGCTATTTTTGAAAAAGTTTAAGTTGCCATATAATAACATTAAGCCTACTACCAGTGTTATAAATTGTATTGTTTTAATTCCTTGAGGATTCTGCAGATTATTAGAACAGTATTCATACTACAAATAATTTTCCTGTGCAAAAAACCTGTCTCTAAAAAAATGTGTTAACGTATTTCAATTTCCAGCATTAGCAGCTAAGAAATATATGTGATGCCTGAATGGTGCCACATAGGGATTTTTTTTTTCCCCATTTTTCAGTTGCATGCTGATCTAATGAGGTCTGCAGTCAGCACTTTTAAGCTTCTCTTAAAAAGAAAGATCTAAATCAGTAATTGTCTTGATATTTAAATGATCATTAATGACTTTCATTTTTAGTAGGATCTGCATAGTTGCTTAAAAAAATGCATAGTTGTTTAAAAACCTGTAAGCCCTCTTATATTCCCAGATATTAGTTCCCTGTTTTTTTAAATAAGACTTATTCTCTAAATTTTCAAGAAAAAAAAAAAAAAAAAAAAGATTTCAAATCTTAAAGTTTTTTAGGGAACGTTTTGAGATTTACAGGCAAGTTACAAGGGAAAATATGCTTAATCCTTTTATGCTCAGGAACATAATAGCTGTATGTTGCTTTTTATGTCCATTACTATAATGTGCTGTGCCTATACAACATTCATAATAATTTTCAAATTTGCATATACTTTCTATGCTACAGATTCTCTTATCTGAAAAAATTAAGTTACCAGTGTCAGGAAAAAAAATATAACTCGGTGTCCATAGCAGGGGCTAGATTTATGACATCTGTAAGAGGAAATGGTAAACTGCTTGGACACTGCCTTTTTTTTTTCTTTTTTTTTTTTTTTTCTAGGAAAAGGGCATTTTCATCTTCATATATACTGATAGGGGTATAAATCAAGACTTCACAAATAGTAATTTTATAGATTTATTGGCTTACTACTAAACCTGTACATACAGAGAAGGTTATACAAGTTTACATATTTGCATTTCAAATATTTATGTGTTTATTCTGAAGCATTTAGTAGTTAATAGTAAAGTAACACATGTAAGTCAATTTATGCCTTCCATTTTATTTGCCATTAGGTGTGAGTTGTCAAATTTACTTTTTACTCCAGACCACCACGGCCTAATTAATTAATTGGAAAAATTTATAGTAACTCACTGAATTTTGGAACATAGCTTAATTAAAAGTGTTGTAAGGAATGCCTTTCCGATCTTATCTGACAGCTTGTGTATAGTAAATTACTTCACTGCAATCCATACACAGAAATATTTTCCATGTTATTTGAAAAGCACTATTAAGGTGTTGAAAATCCTCAAATACCACAAAAAAATGCAAAGACTGTATTCTGCTCTTCCAACTGTGTTGAGTGCATAAAGGTTGGGAGTTACATTATGCCTCTCAAAATAAGGTAAGTCTTTCAGATGTGGAAAACATAATTTGTTTACAGTTAATTTATATACTTATGAAGATTGATCTGCAAGTTACTTCTCACAGAATTTGCGTTTGAGTTGCTAAAAAGATGTAACTGTAGCAAAATGGTACTTCTGCTGTTTCTGAGACTACCAAGAGAGCATGAAGAAGTTTGGGCTAATGATGCGTTTCTGAATCTTACAATGTGAGTCTCTGAGCTTCTGACTCTGTCTAAAGGGGGCATACAGTATGCCTCAAGATTAGTATTTTTGCAAGTTAAAGGAAAAAATGCTGTACATATGCAGACATGCGATAGCAAAATAGCTGAATTGCAATCTTAAAGTATACTCTTCTGTTTTATAGGTGTCTGTACTGATAAGAAACTTCTCCCTGAAGGTTTGGACAGTAAAAGACCAAAGCCAATTAAGTTGCCGAACCAGGCCTATATTAATCTACCTCTTTGGAAAGATGATCAGGGAGAGAATACAGTAGAACATGAGAGCTTTGAAGAAGGAACTTCTGCTAGTTCTACAAATAGTACTCCTCAAATGACACCTACAAACAGTCTGAGCAGGACACTGCATAAAAAGAAGACTGATTCAGTGTTGTATGGGTGTGCTGTCCTCCTTGCATCTGTTGCCTTGGGGTTAGATATCAGGGAGCTAAACAAATCACAGGGTCCAGATGAACTCTTGCCTAAAGATGAGAAAAAGAAGCGTGATGGAATATTTCAGCGTGCTTCAAAATTTCGCAGAAGTGCCAGCCCTACAAGACTGCAGTCCAAGAAAGAGGAAACAAATATTCCATCCCTAAATCCAGCTGCAAATGCTGTGAATCTTCTCTCTATGCCCTCCATTTCCACAAAATGCCTACTTCAATCTGATAGTGAAGATGCACTTGTAAGCACTGTGCTTGGTGATTGTGGTCCCTGTAGTTCCACTGATGACTTTTCACCTGAGAGTAAGAGAGAACAGAGGATACAGCTGCCTCCTAACACAGTTTCTACACGGTTGAAAAATCAGCCTTTTAGTCTTTGTCTGAAACAAGAATCTCAAAATGTGCCAAATGATTCCTCAACAACTTTAAGTGTGTTGGGTCACCGACGAACCTTATCAGATGGGAACAATTTTCATACCACAGGTGGGTGATTAAGAACTTAAAAATGCGGGGAATTTTTAAGTATAGAAACAGAAAATGCAGGGAAACTAACCATTCACTGGTGAGTTGCTAAGATTTTTGTTACATTGCTATGTGTTAGCTGAGCTACCATAACTGTATGTGGGTAAGGCCTCTGTCTGAACCCTGAATGAACAACATGCCATTGGAATAGTATCCTGTTAGGAGTGCAGGTATGGAGATTTAAGGGGAAGAGATGGTTCATTTTAAGGCAATATCTGTTTTTCTCAGGTATTGCAAAAATAGGTGTCCCCAGTCTTTTCATGTCAGTGAGAACCTGCTTTTTTGCAAAATATTAGCATTCTGGCTGAAATAAACTAAAACAGTGTCAGGTAGGGCATTATGTAGATGTGGACTTCCTGAGGCTGAGAGTACACTTGTTTAATATAGTTTCACAGTCCACATAGGTGGGCAATTGAGCATAATTTTGGTACTGCAAATTTATTAACTTAAAGGAAAACAAGCATGGCAAGTTTTGATATGCTTGCTTGACCTAGAAATTATGTCACATGTTCCACAAATCCTTAAGTTAAGCTGGGAAAAAAGGTTTTTAAATCTGGTTTCCATATAAATAGATAAATTTCATGATTAATGTGTTTTTGAAAAGAAGTTCTAAATTTTAATACTGGTGTTCTATGGTGCCTTAATTGTGATAATTCTTCATGGTACTCTATGCATATATAACTACTCATAATAATTGGACAAATTTGTGGGGCTTCATTCCAGTATTAACTTTCATCAAGTTACTGGGTGGTTAATGCTTTCTCTCTATATCTCTTCTGTAGCAATAGAAAGGAAGTTGTTATAGCCTCTAGCAGAGAGTATAAATGCAAAAATGTTATTTGAGCACTGCTGGTCCTCTTGTAGGAGATTCCCCACAAATTAATTTTTTCCAGTGGATAGCATTTATGGCAACCCAGTTTTACAAATGGTAAAGAAATCAATAAGCCACATGGTTTAAATTGTCTTTTTTTGTTTTGCCTTTACTTTCCCTTAGCTAACGGATTTGCTTCAACCAATGATGTCTCCACATTACCAGTTCTATCAGTTACTGGAACTCTGCACTCTCCATCTGTTCAACAGAGAAGCAATCACAGTGGTGTTTCAACTGAAAAACAAAGCGCTGTCAATATTATATCAAGGCCTCGACCTTCTTCTGTAAGAAGTAAAATTGATGCATGGCAGATTATTCCACGTATTATTAAACCAAACTCTAAAGACTCGGAATATTTAGAGAGCAATGTAGATCCAGATGTTAACTTCTTGCCAGATACTGAGGGAAGAACTAACTGCCACATGCCCTCATTACTTGATATTGATGTGGAAGGTCAAAACAGAGACTGTACTGTGCCTTTATGTAGAATGAAGAGCAAAACTTGTCGGCCATCTATATATGAACTGGAGAGAGAGTTTCTGTCGTGAGTGCCTTTCATTTTAAAAAGATTTGCTTTTTGAAGGGGAACAAATATAAAAATCTTGTTCATCTAATGCTTTGTGCTGCTGTTTTCTGATGTACTGTGACAAATAGTACCAAAATTATTAAAACGGGCAGCTAATTAAGAAAGTATAGTAGGTGCCTTTTTCAAATGTTCCTTGGAATCCCAGCTAGTAATTCTAAAAGCACAATGCTGCAAAATAGTATTCTAGGTGAACTTTAGAAGTATATTTTGAATGACTAAAATAACATGCCCACCTCCCTCTGCAATGTCACAGAAGTTTTCTTTAGGTTTGAGGGGTTTTGCTAGCAATTTAACTTTTGCACATTGAAAAAATGAATGACATATAGTAAGGTTGTGTTCCGTCAAGAGGAGTTTCACCTCAGGAGTGGTTGTCTGCAGCCTGGCACTGTGGCCTGTAGAATTAGGGAGGGGGGCAGGTGATTTCACGTGCTGGTGCAGGAGGCTCTGTTCACTCCTCATTAAGTAGCTGGTTACTTTTTGGCATTTGATACTGAAATTGGTTAAGGACCAGCAGCTGGATTTGCAGTCTTTGCCCTTGGTTTTTCAGAGAACTTTCAACTGTGTGCATTAGTTTCTCCAGAAAGTTACACTGCTTGTATAAACACTTAGGTTTCAGCCACCATATCGATTTGAGAGGGTAAACTTCAGTATTGTGATTGGATTAAAGGTATTTGACATACTTTATAATGTGAAACAACATTCCTTGTAGGTAAGGATACACTGGAACGTAAATATTTGTACTCTTAACCTTTTGAAGACTACAGAGTTTGCACTGAAAACAATATTCTTGGTTTGGGATTTTTTGTTTGTGGTGGGGGGGTTTGCTTCCCTTCTTGTTTTTTAAACTGTGCTGCACCTTGTATTGAGGAAAGATAATGGGTTTTAAGGGTTGGTTTCAGTTTTATGTGAGACAATGGTCCGTTTTACTGCACTCACATTTTAAAACTGCAATATTTAATATTAAATCTTTCAGTATAATCTCTGCAGCTTTTCTTCCTGAAGTTACTACTGAGTGGCCAGTTATTAATATTTAGGAATTAAATGACGGAAACAGCTAAGCTTGACTGGTTTTCAGTGATGGAAAGGTTCCATAAAATTCCAAGTAGTTAATTGTGGGGGCAGGAACATTTAGCCTTGATAACACTGATAGTTTAATTTTTTACAGTATCACTAAGTGATTAAATAAAACCAAATGTACAGTATACTTTCCCTGATGAAAGCATTTCTAGAATTAAAGGAACATCCCTCATATTCCAGTATTTGAAGTCTTAATTTTGCATATAAATTGACATTTAAATAGTCTTCATTATCTGATTTTATTTATGTTAGAATAAAACTACTATATTCCCATCAGAACACTCTTTTGTTGAGACCTTTGTTTTAAATGTTTTCTTCTCTTTTGCTCTGGGGTCTGGGAGTTCAGATGTTAAATAGAATGCACAATTGCCTAAAGCATTAAAACCAGGGGATTGAAAAATAAAGTTTCTGTTCCAAGACTGGTATGCAGTACAGTGGCTACCTTGGGGATGACAGATAGTTATACGTACAAAACCATGAATTCTTAACCACACAGAGCAGAACACAGAAAATGCAACTTCCCAACTCTCAAAGTGAAAATAGAAAATTATTTCCTTTAAGTATTAGTTTATCAAAAGTAAAGACATAACCACTAGTTGTCTGTAAAACTGAATGCTTATAACAGATTATTAAGTTATTACATTTTGTTCAAACCTGTTTATATTTCAGTATTCTTAGTTCTCGTTGATATAAGTTGCATACTGTTCTTTGTCTTTAAACTTTTAATTTCATCAGAACACTTTAATACATGAAGTCTATTCCAGTTTTAATACAAAACTTTTTCATAAAATAAAGTCAATTAGGTAGTGCACATGGATCAAATTTTAAGTATAGCTTGATAGAAGATTTATTTTCAAGGCTTAGTAAGAATTTTGGAGCATTATGTATATTTCAGCTCTTTCTTGATCAATTATTCCTGTGTAATACTGAGAGAAAAGTTGATTGTATTACATGTTTCTGAAGAAAGTATCTGTTTGGCTTTCTACAGGAAAATCTCAGGTGCTGAAGTATTTTGACTTGTAAACTTCTGTTCTGTACTTTTAAGGTTTATATAATTTTAAATGTTGAATTTTGCACCCTGTGTTTTGTAATCTAGTATCAGCATAAAAAGCCCTTTGTGAGCTATATTGTTTTCATTTATCAGTGGCTTATCTCTCTTGCAATTAAACAATGATTTCTATTCCTGTTCAGTGGATAATTTCCCATAAGAGTGGGATAAATGATATGGCCAGCCCAGTGCATTGCTGTTTAGGATTTTGTATTCCACCTCTTATTCTGACACAGTTTAGGTAAACCATCTCAAATATTTCTCTTATGTGATACAGGGGTTTTTTTAAGCTATACTCTATAGTGCTTTATTATTGTTTTTATAGTTTAAAATTATAGGCCAGTCTTCACTGAAATTAAAAAGATTTTAAAAAAAAAAATTACACTCATGGTTTCACAGTCTGTATTTCACTTGTCACCAGAGAAACTTTCTATAAAGGCATGGTAATCTGGTATGCATCAAGTGGTCTGTCTTGGTTAAAAGTATATTTATTTCAATGTAGGTTAATAGACTAAGCAAATAATAATTTATGTTGATTGTTTTAGCATAAAACTGAAGGTGCTTACACTACAAAGATTAAGATAAATACTTGACGTGCTGTTTTACAAAACCTGATGATTTAAATGTTTTTATTTTAAAAATAAATGTTTTGTAGCTACTGTATTGCAAAGTCACCCGAATTTTCTTGAAAAATATATTTTAATGCTTTCTTAACACATACAAAAGAGTTCTCTGGTGAATAACCAGGAACTTTAAACTAGGGCCAGCCTGTTCTTGGAACATTAGAGTGTAATTGTTACTTTAAGATTAATTGTCCAGTACAGTAACATGAATGTTCCTGTAATTTCTTGTACTTGATGTGGGCAGAAATGTATGGTATAAGCTTGTTCTGTTTCATGTGGCCATAATATGTCTTTTGATGCTTTGGCAATGTTGGCTGGGTATCTTAGAGGAGGTAGAGCAGTGGATATAAATAAATTCTGCACCTGATTCAGCATCAAGCATACAGGTAAGGAATAACATATTTCTGTTGTGGGGTTTTTGAGGGGGAGGGTTGGTTTGTTTTTCGGTTTTGGGGAGTTTTGTACTTTGGTTTGGTTTTGGGGGGTTTTTTTTGGTTGTGGGTTAGGGTTTTTTTTGTTTAGGTTTTTGGGGGTTTTTTTTGGTTTTGGGAGGGTGGGGTTTAAGGCAAATGAAGACAGTATTTTCCTTGTAATATTTTCTAACATCTTCTTTTGTGAACTTCTCTCTCCTTTTCCCCCATCATGCCATGGATGCATTAGCTCGTCTTTCAGTAAGGAGAAGAGGAAGTATCCATTTGGACAGTGGCAACAGGCAAGAAATAGCAGAGTCTCAAGCAGTGCAGTGAAATTCCAAGCTGTAAGCCCAATTTTAGAAAGATGTGCCTACATAGAGCTTTCGGTGAGGCTGGTTAGATGATAAATATTTACCTGGCTTGTAAGCATCAGTATTGAGCCCAGATTATGAGCCAAACTGCACAGGCAGTTTATTTTATACACAGTGTTCTAATGGTAATATTAAGATCTGCATACAAGTGTGTGGTAATGGAAAAGATCCCATTCTCTCTAGCTGCCTCCCCTTTTAATAAAACTAGTCAGATCACTACAGTGCATGCATTATAAGGAGCTAATGAGACTCTGTTATCTAGTACATTTTTTGATGTAAATTCAGGGTTCTTAAGATTGCAGTATTAGGTATTCTAAATTAAGGCCAGAGTCCTTGCAAGTGTGTAATGGATTTCTCCTTGAAAATGAGCAAACCAAATATAAGTTGGTCATCTCAATACTGCTAGAAAATATTGCTACTCTTTTTTTTTTTTTTTTTTAACAAAGAGATGCTTTCTGTTCTAATAAGCTGGAGAGTAGATCCACAGGGCTACGCAACTAGGATGGATTTACTTTTCTGTTTCACAGAATCAGAGGATCATTTAGGTTGGAAGAGACCTCTGGAGGTGAAACAGTCCTGACTGCCTCTGCTAGAGCAAGCTGTCCAAGACTACTTCCAGTCAAGTTTTGAGTATCTCTACAGGTGGAGACTCCACAGCTTCTCTGGGCAATCTGTTCCAGTGTTTGACCATCCTCACAGTAAAAACATTTTCTTATGTTCTGATCGAATTTCCTGGTTTTTTAGTTTGTGACCATTGCCTCTTGTCCCATCACTGGACACTGCTGAGAAGATTCTGGCTTCCTCTTCATTCCCCCGTATCAGATATTTATGAACAATTATAAGATTCTCCTGGAGCCTTCTGTTCTCCAAGCTGAATGGTCCCAGCTCTCTTAGGCGTTCCTCGTGTGTAAGATGCTCCAGCCCTGTCATTGTCTTTGTGGCCCTGCACTGGATTTGTTCTAGTAAGTCCGTATCTTTCTTGTACTAAGGAGCCCAGAACTGTACCCAGCACTCTAGGTGTGGCCACACCAGTGCTGAGCAGCAAAGAAGGATAACCTCGCTCAACCTCCTGGAACATTCCTAATGCAGCATACCATTGGCTTCCGCTACTGTAAGGGCACATCACTGGCTTATGTTCAGCTCATTGTCCACCAGGATCCTCAGGTCCTTTTCTGCAAAGCTGCTTCCCAGATAGTTGTCCACCAGTGTGTACTGGTGCACGGAGTTGTTCCTCTCTAAATGCATTTCTCCTGCATGAGATTCCTCAGCCAAGTTTTTCAGCCTGTCCAGGTCTCTCTGAATGGCAGCACAACTATCTGGTGCATCAGCCACTCCTCACAGTTTTATATCATCTGCAAACTTGCTTAGGATACACCCTGTCCCAGCATCCAGGTCATTAATGGAGATGTTGAACAGTATCGGCCCTAGTATCAACCCCTGGGGTACTCCACTGGTAACTTGTGACATTTAAGCAAGCTGTTGTTAGTA